CTTGCCCCTTTTAAAACTTTGTTAACACACTCTGACAGATTAGTTGTCATGTGGCCAAACCTTCTTCCTTGTTCATCGTAAGAGATGCTCCACTTCTCTTTCGGGATGCGATCAATCCAAGCAGCTATTTGAGGGCTTGTTTCTCTAAATTTCTCTAAACCAGCATCAAAGTCAAAGCGCGATGTTGTATATCCTACACATGGCACACACAAAACATTACTACATGTTGTCCATTAAACGAATCAGAACAATTGAAAACATACCTAACTTCTTCAACTGCTTCTTCAACATGACATTCTTGAACTTGTGATTGAAATTACTGGCCACGTGGCGAAGGCAATACACATGATATGCCTGTGGTGGAGACCATCCTAGATCAGCATTGTTGACTGCAGACAAGATACCCGCATGCCGATCATAAATCAGATAGATTCCGTGTTTTTGCGTAACATGTATTCGAATAAGTGCTAAGAACCATGACCAGTTGTCAGTATTCTCCGCAGACACGATAGCGAATGCAATTGGAAGAATGTAATTGTTGCCATCAACAGCTGTAGCAATCATTAGGGTCCCACGATATTTTCCATATAGATGTGTTCCATCGATCAAGATTATTGGCTTGCAATAATTGAATGCTTCACAACACTGCTTAAATGTCCAAAACACCCTTCTGAAAACCTTGTGAGCTTGGTCTAGGCATCCATCAATGAAATGGTCACGCAAATCCAGCTTATATGCGGATCCGAGAGAAAAACGCAACATGTAATCCAGCCACCTAGGTAAGAACGCATACGACTCGTCCCAGTCACCAAAAACTTTCACAATAGCCTTTTGCTTTGCCTTCCATGCCTTCCTATACGATATATGGAATCCAAGGCTAGTAGCGATCCTTTCTTGGATAAGGCCAATTTTGACACTGGGCTCCTCTCTTATCATTTCTGTTTATGTGGTCAAACAACACTGTATTAGTCAACAATAGACAAAGTTTTTATAAATTTAATATGAATAACTGTACGCACCTAAGATCAATGAACAAATGAGATTTGAGTCCAACTGCTTGTGATCTTGGGTAAGAGATTGACTAACACATGTGTGTTCGTTGTTCCATATGCCTATCGCCCATTCGCTGCCGCTTTTTTTTGGTATGCTCTCATCCTCATTGGACAACCCGCGTTATGATTTTGACAAACCATAATCAACCTTTTCGTATCACTTTTCAGAACGACTGTTGTGCGATGATTTGCCATACAATATTGTTTAATTGCCATCTGTACATCTTGCTTAGTGTCAAACATTTGGTCCTTATATAGCTCGTCGCCGATCTGCCAGTTAGGTATTTGTGCTCCATTCATATCATCCAATTCTTGGTCTGGATATTCCCAATTAACATTCGTGAAATGGCTTACTCCAGACCAAAATGGTACATTATCATTTCCTGCATAATAAGATATCCAAAAACCCAATATATAATGTAAATGTCGTTATATTTGATATTAGATATTTTATTATAAAGCATTAATCCTTACGTACCTGCAACAGGAGGATCTTGCATTCCGACAATGCCTGGCGATGGAATTGGTTGTTCAACTGCAGTAGACGGACAACAATCAAAGTCACCATCGACATCCGTATCTGATGACTCGCTATCTGGAACAAGACCTTCATCACGCTCTTCCTCGGAACTATCCGTACGCCAAGATGGATCGTACATGTCGTTGGCTGGAACCGCTTCATACAAAATTTCTTGGGTTGGTGGTGCAAGCGTTGGGGACGCGACCTCAACTTCCAGATTAACCTCGGGCACCATGTTTATGTCGATGATGTCAGTGCATGGATTGCTCGGTTGACTGCTGGATTGTCCACCGTAGTTGACTTCTGCATACAATTCAATAAATCTTGACTCGCCGTGTTCAGAAGTGCTTGCATCTACTACTAACGTTACATCTTCATCGTCGACAATTTCCACACCAACCCATTGCACCGGGTTACCCGAGGCACATCTAGCGGTCAACCGAGTAACAGTTTGACCACGTTCTAATCTTAACTTCTTGTATATTAACTTCTTCAGCTCGTGAAGATTGCATCTTGGGCTCATGCGAAACATTTTTGCATCACCTTCAAACACTTCTCCGTTTGGACCAAAGTATTTTCTTCCATTATAATAAACAGTTGCTATTAAATCATTCCTACCCTCACTCATCCTACAAAAATAGAAACAAAACTAAGATTCAACAACAACACAAAAGTAGTAAACCTTAACATAAAAGGAAAAATATGGCACTGGTAGTTGATACCCGAAATGGAGTAATTTATAGCTCATAATTCGCTAGGGGGGGTAGCAAATTAAGTATCATAATTTCGCTGTACCCCCTAGCGAATTAGTGGGGAGATGACACTTGGCAGATATTACATATTTCGCTACCAGTCATGCCAAAAATAACCACATAATTCGCTACCTAGTACAGCGAATTATGTGGGGAAGTGACACGTGGCCTGACTTTGAGTTGACATGAACTGACCCTTCTGCTGCATAATTCGCTGTACAGGGTAGCGAATTACATGTCCAACAGGGGTGTGACACGTGTCCAAAAGTTGTTTGGCAGGGCTGACCTGTTGACCACGTATTTCGCTACCCTGTGTAGCGAAATACGTGGACCACTGAGGACGTGACACATCATCAGGCCTAATTCGCTGCACTGTGTAGCGAATTAGCCTGCGTGGCAGTTTGGGAATTTTTACTGTGCGCGTGGCATTCTGGTAAATTTTATGATGAACAGTGGCAAATTGGTCACTGTTCCGAGATTCTCATCGCTATTCTTTTGGAATCTTTGTGAGTTATTGGTTTTAGGGTTTGATTTTTATAATATTATAGCCGGCTGTTGAGTTAACACCATCCATCCGATGAAAATCATGTCTCCACCGCCTATTCTTTGTGAAAAATTAATGTTCACTTAGGAACGTTTGATACAAGATTTTTGGTAGAATTTCTGATAAGCTGAATATTTTTAAATTTTTTATTTTTGGATATTATTATAAATTAAATATTTTTATCATATTTTTGAAAATCGTGATTGTCAAATAATTTTTTTTTTCCTCTATTAAACACCCCCTTATGGACTGGGCGTGTCTCTCAGGTCACGCTCCATGTGAACGTGTCTTTCTTATAAGTCACGTTCTAGTTCTATATGGATGTGTCTCTTTGGACTGGATCACGATCCATGTGGATGTGTTTGACTACTGTACTTATATAAATAATTTTAAAATTACTATATTTATATAATTATTTATTAAAAAATTAGTAAATTAACTTTTTTGCTGCAAATGTCATATTGAAATATTTCAAGATCTATATGGGCCCCAAGTTCCCAAGTCATCGCAAGACATTAAAATGCAGGTGGTTCCTCTACACTTTTAAGTTAGAATCTTGAATGGTACACGTACAGTAACTTGTATCAGCTTTTGTGAGGTAATGACTAGTGAGTCTTTGCAATATTTTTTACCATTTGGTAATAGAAAAAAGTCTGATTCTGAAAACTGCATCTAGCTAGCTAGCTAGCTAGCTATCCCCATGTCATGTCTACTGGCAAGTCCACATCCTTTCTAGTTTCTTCTGCTTAATTTGAATGAGATGGGGTTTGATAATTGATATTCTGCAAGTCAAGCGTTGACGACACTGTTCTGGCTAACTAATACCCTGTTCAATAGCTTCACCTCAATTTGACGTTATTCATTACTCTCTTTTTGTTTTTTTAAAGAGCCACTCATTAGTAAGTCCAGACTCCAGAGAAAAGGGAGCTTATCACTTTCTTATGACATGAAGCTGTGCAATTTCCTCATCCCTTTCTTCTCAACTCACTTCAACTCTGACACTCTCACGGGCAAAAACTCTAGTTCATTTTGAAGCAACGGTTCTCCAGGAGACATAGAATATTGTACTTATTTCAATCTATTGTAGAATTTGAAATTTGACCATAGATAGATAATGCATACAGCATTTCCAATCTAAGGGAACATTTTAATCAAATCGAAAAATGTATAAAAAGTATCAAGTGCACATGGATTAATTATCAAAGTATTGTTTCATCATAACAGTGGTATTGAATTTGAGTCCTGCATATATAACTATGTTAAAAGGAGAACTCTCTAGATACTCATAAACCGCACGATGATTCCTCTTTCTCATCCTAGCTTGCTAATTCATTGTCACCAAGCTTCAAATTCACAAGTTTGTAGAAAATTATTTAGGGACGTTTGGTTGAGGAGAAATTTTTTGAATACTAAGGAAATGTAATTGATAGAGAAATGGTTAGAAAGTGAGATAGGTCGGAAAATGTAAAAAAAAAATTGTTTTTTTTTTTCTTGTAAATAAAAAAAAAAAAAAATTGTTTGGTAGGAAAACACTTTAATGGAGAAATTAAGTAACTTTTATGAAATCTATGTTTGGTTGGAGGTAAAATATAAATGAAAAAACAACTTATTATTACGAAAATAACCGTGACCCATGTATTGAGAGTTCCCATTGCTGTATTAAAGCAACCATGTGTATGTATGTACCGACTGATGTATTAAAAGAGAAGGTTCAATTATAAAGTTGTCTTATTCTTAGTTTTCTGATTAAAAGAGAAGGTTCAATTATAAAGCTGTCTTATTCTTAGTCTTCTGAAACATTTGCAAAGAACGGTAATTCAAGATTGGTATTTACTTTGATGATACTGCATCACTTTATAGGCAATTGGCTGTGCTGTCGTATGAGCTGTATCATAAGTTTAAATTTAACATTATAACGTCAAAGATGTCAATGAAGAGCTTAATTGACCCTGCTACTATGAGAGTTACAGAAAGAGAAAGGCCAACATAGGTACTGGTATAACTTAAAAAATCATATGGTATAACAATCCAGGGGATGAATTAATTGATCCTCCCATGTGATGTCCTCTAATTAAAACCCTGTGCACCTATAAACCATCTGCAATGTATTATAAAAAGCGAACAATGGCATTAAAAATTGAAGAAGAAAAAAATAGTCTTACACAAATCTTATACTATACTGATACTCCTAAATTTTACAAGATTTTGGACATCATTGACACAATGGTATAACAAATTTATGCAGTTGTCAGAGATTGCATTTTGCCTTCATTCATTAGTGCCATGAATGAGAAAAACATCCTCCAGTCCACAACCAGATATTGTTAAGCTAACTGCCATATGAGCTAGCATCACAGATGTTATAGGCATATCATCTGCAAAGTTTAAATCATAAAACTGTTATGTGGAGTAACTTCATTTGGCTTCTGCGGCTATTTCATCCTTGACAGTTCCATAATGCAAGACTCTCATTCCTTTGAAAAGGCTCTTCGTTCATCTTGAGTACTTATTGTTGCATTTAGCTCCACACCTGTATTAAAGTGCAAAGCATATAAAGGGCCGACCCAGTTCAAATACCCACTTCGTGAGTGTATGGGGAAGGGAATACTCTAGGCAGTCTTTCCCCTGCTTTTTGCAGAGAGGCTGATTCGAACCCGCGACCTGACACACCACGGCAAGCAAGCTTACCGCTGAGCCAAGCCGGCCCTTCAAAGTGCAAAGCATATGTTCCTGCCAAATATAAGTCAATGTCAACCAACACTAGTGCTATTATGGTGATCCAAGGAAAGGGACTTATAGCTGCATTATGATATTGTGTAACAACAAACTTACTAACACTTTCTGCCACTGCCCATGGTAACAAGATCTAACCATTCTGCAGATTGCACCTATAAATGGATCAATAATATCTTGCATGAGCAACAAGTTCTTATACAAGCAAGTTTTCAGAAAAATTATTACAGCAGCAAAACCATTTAATCTTGTTTACATGAAGACACTACAATAAAAGGCAGTTGTTGAGGAATTGCTTACCTTAGCACTTACAATATGAAGAACTTTGTGATATCATCATTCATCACAGTTGCTTATGTGACAGTCAAGAACCATGTTTTTGTGTCTGCAGGTAAAAGATCTCTCCATACATGATTGATTGGAAGATAGTACAAAGCATGTTAATTGCAAATAAGATAAAAAAAAATTCACTAACTCAACCATCACATATTAAAGATTTTATCCACACCTTTATGGTTAATGTCACATGAGTCCAACTTATTTATACTTTTAGTAAAGAAGCATGTAATAACCCCCAAGGGTAGCTCAGTTGGCAGCTGAGCTCCCAAGGGATTGCTTGGTGCAGGGATCAAACCCTGCCTCAAGCAGTTTCTTGGAAAAATTTTAAGGGTCAGAGGATAAGTCAAAAATCTTCGGTTGGGGGATTAGTCTCGTCATTTCTCCGGTTGCGAAGCTTAGTGCACCCACTGTTACAATGAGGGGCTAGCCCAAACGGGCCGTACCCCGAGGGCATGGTGCCCGGAGAAGGTTGAATGGGGATACCTCCTGGCAATGTACCAAAAAAAAAAAAAGAATCATGTACTAAAGGAGTACCAAAGATTTACTCCTAATTTAGAGGACTACTTGTGAAAGGACAAATCTCAAACGATGCTGCAATAATAAGGTGTGGAAACATAAAAGAGTACCACATGTGAACAAACAGAAAAAAGTATCTTATGATCCCAGAGCCTTGACAAACGAAGAACTGCCTTTGCAGATGCAAGCCTCAAATTTTCCTTATCAACTGAACTGCAAGAGGGCATAAGTGCATAGCATTTGAATCCAAAAAATCCAATTTGGAAGTGAAAAAGAGAAAAAACAACAATTTTCCTTATGCTGATTCTACGAGTTGACTCAAACTTTTAAAAAGATGAGAAGTAGTTAAATGAATTCATTAGCACAACATGCTCCATACATTCTAATGCAATAAATATTATACCCTACCAATTTTTTCGAACCTTTTTTAGTTAAGAAAATGTCGTAATTAATGGTAATCAGATAAGAACTCCGAATTAGACGAGAGAAAAGCCTTTGCATGTGCAATCTGTATAGCGGTTTATACAAGAATACTCAAATTCATGTATTTCAAAGAAAGAAAGAAAAATTAAAAGTTCTGAATACAGTAAACCCAACACTGCAGAAACAAATTACAAAGTACTTCTGAATTAGTTCTCTTGATAGCTTATATTAACCCACTATGGATCAGGGATAAGGTTAGCAGACATTACTCTATGGTTGTGTTTCTTTGAAGCTGGGAACAATTTTTATTTTCAATTTCACTTTCAACTTCAAACCAAACACGTCTTACATAAACCTCGTACGACCTGTTTGGGAGTTGTATAACCTTTTTCAAATAAATCGAAAAAGACTAACGAAAAAAATGCATAAGAAACAGAGACTTACCGGAGCACTATGGAGCACAGATGACGCCAAACAACTACACTACTTGATATGTAGCAGCACAGTGTCCTCTAAGAAATCAAGAGTACACAACAAACTCAAGGGGATTCACTTTCGAAACTTATCCGTCAGCGTTGCTTCTCTCCACGACAATCTACTCCAACGATGATACGAAATAGAGGCTCAGATCCGAAGGTCAAATCTCAAGAAACTTTTTTTACCTACGTGCAATTTCTGAAATTAAAATCTAACACGATGGGTAAAGGAAAAACGAAATCTTTGTGTGAAAAAAAACCTCAACATAGACGAAATAAAAAGATTTTCCTTGCCTCACCTTTCAAAGTAACCAACCTTCATGTTCAGTGATGGTTTCGTTTGGGTTCAAAGCTGTTATGGATATGAATATCATATCTCAACTACCTACTAGAATATCTGGTGAGAAATGGAACTAGCAACATCTCAACAACTCCAAACAGCCAAAGGGTATAAGATTAGGATCACATCCCAACAGAAGGAGGTTGAATCCTACTACAATTGGGGAATCTCAAAAGGCACAAGCCTAAGGACCCCAGGTAAACACTCAGAACACATTTACTACTTTCGCCCACGCTGTGCACACATCACGCCTTGGCTATAAGCATATTGCTTGTGCGCAGTGATTGGGACATCGGCTATAAGCCTAGTATATAGTTGATATACACTATCTCTGAGCGCATACCTTACGGTATAGCAATACGGTCTATCCAGGACCTAACATTGGCGCCGTCTGTGGCAACAATAAATTTCGACTCCCATTCCATGATGACGAACACACGATCGACGTCTAGTACCTCTCAAATACCGCCGCGTCAATCTCAGTCTCAGCCTTATGGCATGCCTCAACACCAATCTGCACTAGAACAGCCCCAATTGGAAGCAAACCCGGTGCTTGTTGAGGTACAGGTCGGCGAGGTCGGAACACAAGGACCGACTCCCAGACCCCAGCCGAATGCAACAATTGCTGCAGTTCGTCCACCTCCACACAGTGAGCCACCAAACGTGACAAACATGGCCATGGGAGCAATCCTTCAAAGGTTGCAAGAGATGGAAAACAGATTCCTGACCCAGCAGCGTATGGATGCCCAAAGGATGGCGACATTGGAGGCCGATCTGAGGACCTTGAACGCGGAAGGCCAGACTAGGGGAGCCGGACATGTCGTAAACGACTGACCTCAGCAGCAACATGCCGAAGGTGTACATCAGAACGCCGAAGGCGTCCAGCATCAGAATGCTGAAGACCTCCAGCATCAAAACGTTGGAGATCGACCTAGAAGGCGCGACAATGCTGGCGATGGAGGACCGCGGCATCAGGACGCGGCTACAATCGAAGGAAACGTGCAGAATGGGCAGAACCTTAACCTCGGTAACAACCGGAATGGTGGTGGTCCGAACGACAACCAGGACGAAAATTATCTGGAGGATGAAGAGGCTAATGATAGCCCATTCACTGAGAGGCTCATGAACTTGGTCATACCGCCAAGATTCAAGAGCACCAGGATACCTCCATACGACGGAAGTCAGGACCCAGAAGCCCATTTAGAGGCTTTCAAAACCGAGATGCTATTCAACGGGATCACTGGACCTATTAAGGCCAGGATCTTTGCGACGACATTGACTGGTCAAGCAATGACCTGGATAACCAGGCTCCCTAGGAACTCAATCGACTCATTCGAGGATCTAGCTCGGACTTTCCGACTTAACTTTGCAACAAGTAAAGTACATCCGATGTCAGCCTATGCTTTGGGAAGAATCCGGCAGAAGGAGAACGAATCGCTGAGGAAGTACCTCGACCGATTCAAGGATGTCGCCCTCAAGGTACGAGGGTTAACTGAAGCAGTGCACCTCCACTTAATCATTTCGAGATTGGAGGGCGACTCCCCATTGGCGAGATCTATCTATAAGAACCCGGTGAACGATCTGGAGGAGTTCAGGAGAAGGTCGGACAAATACATTGACGTGGAGGACATGCAAAAGGTTTATGTCGAATCACGAGTACGAAGCCCTACACGTCGGAGCCCGAGTAAGAAAAACAACAAAGACCGGGACCAGAAGGGATCCAAAAAAGCAAAGGACACTCGTGATAAAAGGTCGGAAGACCGATCACCAAGGAGGAGGTATGACGATTATACACCTTTGAACGTGTCCAGATCCAAGATATGGAAAGAGGTAGCACAGACCGAAATGCGCAATGTCGAGAGACCTCGACCCCTCAAAGCCAAGTTTGGATTAGATAGAAGCAAATACTGCGCATTCCACGACCAAAACGGTCACTTTACGGATGATTGCTGGGACCTCCGAGATGCAATTGAAAAGCACGTCAGGGAGGGAAAATTAAAGCAGTATATCATCTGAACACAGGGCAAGAAAAATAATAAGCGCAAGCAAAGAAGCCGAAGCCGAAGTCAAAGCCCAAAGAGAGAGGATCGAAAGGACCAAAGACAAGACCGACCTGCCAAAGGCAAAGAGGTCGATGAAAAGGACGAGGCTTTTCCTGAAGCCGAATTCGAAAGCAACGTGATAAGTGGAGCTCTAGGTGGGGGAGGAGACTCGGCTAACGCCAGAAGAAGGTACTAAAAAGAGGTCATATCTGTAAGAGACAGGTCGACATTCAAAGAAAAGGACAGCAAACCGGATCCCCCGAGACTGTTCTTCACTCAGGAGGAACTAGTGATGGTTGTACCCGGACACACTGATGGATTGGTGATCACCGGAGTGCTAGTCAATTGCCGAGTGAAGAGAATCTTTATTGACCACGGAAGTTCAGCTGACATAATTCTCTGGGATGCTTTCCAGAGAATGAACCTGGACGAGAAGGACTTGAAACCATGCGTCACCGAGCTGGTCGGGTTCAACGGAGCAACGTCCCTTCCAAAAGGCTACATCGACCTAAAGTTGACCTTGGGCACGAAGGACTCGTTCCGAGCTGGAAGGGTTCATTTCGTTGTGGTGGACACCTCGTCTTCCTACAACGTGATCATTGGTCGGCCCACAATCCATGAATGGGATATGCTGATCTCCATAAAGCATCAAGCATTGAAAATGCCTGGGATGAACAACGAGATCGTCACCATAAGAGGTGATCAAGAAGAATCAAGAAAGTGCTACTACGAGACTCTACGAGTCCATCATGGAGGTCCATCATCTCCAACTCGGCTTAAAGAAGGAGGAACTAATGACTAATCACTGAAGGCATGCGGAAGAGAGGTCAACTTGGTTGAACTCGATGTAAGAGAGGAGCTCTTAGCACCTCGTCCAGAACTCCAAGGAGAGTTGGAGGATGCCGATATTGCGGAAAACGGTAAAGGACACACCAAGGTGGGAAAAGACCTTAAAGGCGACTTCAAAGAGGAGCTGGTTTCTTTTTTAAAGCAAAACCGTGATGTGTTTGCTTGGAAAGCTTCAGAAATCCCTGGAATAGACCCAACCTTCTGCTGCCACAAGCTCTCCATGTACCCCGGTTCACGGCCAATATCCCAAAAGAAGAGGAAGATAGGGTCCGACCGACGTCATGCTTTGAATGAGCACGTCGACGAGCTGCTAGCAGCCGGATTCGTTAGGGAAATACAGTATACCACTTGGTTGTCTAATGTGGTGATGGTAAAGAAACCAAGCGGGAAATGGAGGATATGCGTGGACTACACCGACCTCAATAAGGTCTGTCCAAAGGACTCATACCCCATGCCGAGCATTGACCAGCTAGTTGACAATTCGTCAGGATTTCAGCTACTATCGTTTATGGACGCGTACTCTGGGTACAACCAAATTCCACTACATCCCGACGACCACGAAAAAACCGCCTTCATCACTGAGAAGGGCAATTTTTGTTACAACGTCATGCCTTTTGGCCTCAAAAATGCAGGGGCGACATATTCTCAACAATAACTGGCAGTTGTCTACTATAGCAAAAACGAACTTACCATTTCAGCGGCAGTCCAACAAATATCCGTGCCATTTAACATGTTCGTTATCGGATCAAAATGTATTCCAAAATCAGCTAGCCTCATTGCCAACTTGTATTCAGCAAAATATTTTTCAAAGGCCCATTTAAGCGAAGCCATAGAAGCACAGCATCCCGATCGATCCTCATAATAATCCAGCATGTCTCCCCATATGTCTTCAGTCCAATTAACACCTTTGGTGAGATGTAGGTGGGCATAGAAAGTCTGCAGTGTCTCAATCTCCTTCAAACTAAACATTAAAATATTAACATTTAATAGAACACAAATTATATTTCAGAAAAAGCATTGATAAAAATTTACATCCAAAATAGGTAAGAGTAAATCACAAAATAGTGCTACTCAAATGGACTTGACAAAACTTGTTAAAAGAAATTTGTTTACTTTTCAGAAATAATATATACAAATTACCAAACCTTACAACTGAAAAAAATATTTGCATAAGGTTAATAACAAATACAAAAATACTTTAAAAAAAGGGCATCCTTACTAACATGACTAATGGCTTACGGGAAACTTAACAATTGTGAAAGTAAAAAAATCCATTCTTGCAGAGAGGTAAAGGGATATAGGGTGAGATTTTTATTAAGTTAAATAAATTATTGCAAAATAGGAACCACAAAAAAATCCATAGCAAACTAAGCCACGAATGAATTACATGCATAACAGATAAGGCCAAGGAGATAGGGGCTAAACATGCAATGCAAAACACTTTTCCTGCACTCCAAATCAGCAATTAGCAGATATCTTCAAAAACAAAACAAAGCATATTATATTGTAGGAAAGTATATTAAATTTTTCTAGTACAAGTACCAATCACCTAACTATATGTGTATGCCTTTGTCATTTCAAAAGTACCCCATTTTGCACCAGCAAAAGCTAAATTTGGTGCTTTGTAAGATTATCCACATACAATTCATTAATAACCAAGTGAGTTTGAATCATCATTAGGGCCCAACTTCCTTCTACTTGACACATACTTCTATAGGGCCCAAGCCTTTCATGCACAAACCCATTTGCCTTCATCCTCTTCCTCCCAAACACAAAATCCTCTTATTCTCTCTTAAACAAAAATTAAAGAATACTATTGGGAGAAAAGCCACTTCAGTTTTGCTTTGCTACAAACAAGCGACGTGCAGAATTAGTCATTGAAGAAAAGCCACATGGAGTTGTTAAAGGAAAGCCACACGCGGAAGAGGTGTTAATTTCAGAGAACCCAAATACCCAAACAATGCCAACACTGAAAGTGTAGGATCAAGAAAATGGAAAGTGTAGAAAGATTAGATACCTGATGATCTTTATCTTCCTTGGTACAATTCTCTTGCTACTACTTCCTCTCTCCATCTTCTTCCTCTTGCTCGATTTGCTCGGTTTGACAATTCTCGTGCGTTTAAGTTTACGCGCACGAGTCTTGAATCCCATTTATTTCTTTTCACCTTACTTTTTGACATTGAAAGGATTGATGTGCATGTGAAGCTACTGGTTTCGAGAGCATTTATCTGTTGGAGGATTGATTATTCATTTATTTGCTTCACCGAATCACCCTATCTTCTGTCGTTGAAAGGATTACACAATGAAGGTCGAATCACCCTATCTTCTGTGGTTGAAAAGATTACACAATGAAGGTCTACACCCATAGCCTCTGCTTCCGAGAAAAGCATCTCCTGTCATTGAAAGGATGAAAGCCATAGTCTGGTTTCGAGAAAAGCAATTAGGTTGTGGAGAAATGTTATAAATGCAGAATAATTTGACCAAACTTACTTTGCTTTTTGTTTTTGAAAAAATTTCAAAAATCAAATTATTTTTATTTTTGTGCTTTTTTTTAACAGAAAATTATTTCCCCAATCCGTCAAATTATTTTTTTTCCATAGACACAAACATTTTATTTTCTTTTAATAAATAGATTCACCATTAAAGAAAAGGATGAAAAATATAAAAATAAAGCAAAATTTTACCAAAAATTAAAAAATAAAGGAACCTTTTTATAGTGCTACTTTTTTTTTTTGGTAAATAAAAGGGCCGGAGCCCAAAAACACAAAGAAACTAAAGGACAAACAAAGCACGATCCCTCCCAACAGAGGAGATATCAGCTAAATATAGAAATAAAAGATCATTTGGAGGCTCACGAACCAACACAACATCTATTTCCTCCTCTTTATCCAAAATAAAGTTGGTCATCCAGTCTGCACACGTTTCCTTCCCTATAGGTATGTTGAAGTTTAACCCGCCAATCTTTTTTGAGCCATGTCCGTATGCGAGAGACAATTTGACTCTCACGGACTGCTATGCCAGGATGGGATAGCATAGTGATTGCACTAGAGGAATAACTTTCCAATTCAATATTGCGAAAACCTTCATTCCATGCCAATTCTAACCCACGAAGAATACCCCAAAGCTCAGCTTTATAAGAAGAACAAGAGCCTAACTTATAAGCAAAACCACTTAGCCAAGTGCCACTAGCGTCACGAAGAACACCACCACAAGCAGCAGGACCAGGATTACCGCGAGATGCTCCATCAATATTAATTTTAATAAATCCATTCTCTGGGGAACTCCAAGCCACACTTATGTTGATAGTTCTTCGGCCCAAACAGTGATTATTCGGATGAGAGAAGGCATCATCAGTATTAGTAACCAACTTCCGGATAATAATTTCCCTGTTCATCCAACTAGGAATTGCACTTCCGTGACAAAGTTCATTTCTCCACTGCCAATATTTCCAGCAAGCCACAAAGAAAACCGAATTCCAATTACTAGGAGCATTAAAATTCTTCCAACCGTTTAGATTATAATCAATCCAAACATCGAAATTGCTCGCAAAGAAAACAGACAACAAATGAGGAGGAAGAAGTTTATTCCAAATTAATTTGGTCTCAAAACAATCCCTTAATGCATGGAGAATTGTTTCACTAGCACTATTACAAATCGGGCAAATGTCCGTAGAGTCCCCCCATTGAGCAATTCTATCCATAGTTAGAAGTTTACCATGAAGAATCTTCCACATCAAAATCTTGAATTTCTGAGGGCCCTTCCAATGCCATAATGTTGACCAAATTTGTTTCCTGTCATCCAAACCATCTCCATTGAAGGAAAGAGACTCATATATCTGCCTAATTGAAACAGTTGGAGTATTAACAAAACTCCACACTTTCTTATCAGGCCCATCATCACTATTAGGGGGTAGAATACTTTTCAAGTTACTGGTGACAGAAGGAATAAGGCATTGCTTCAAAGCCTCCATGTTCCAACTTCCATCGAGCATAATCATATCAGAAACTGTTTTATTGAAATCAATATTAGCAACAACAGGGATAATCAAATCCTGTAATAAAGTCTTTCCATCAAGCCAATTATCAGTCCAGAAATTGATAACCGTGCCATCACCCAAGCTCCAGATTAGGATTGGCAGTGATTGCATCAGACCCGGCCAACTGCATCACGTCATGCGTTTTTTCCAATTTTGCTCTCCTTCCAGAAGTTGTCTACTGTTGTCTACGGTCATCGGATCGGTTCGGGTCAAGTATTGGATTGGTCATGTATCAGACCCGGCCAACCCGGTGACCCGTGATCCGGTCGAGTCATACATATTTATAAAAAAATAAAAATAAAAATGGTTTCATCTTGTAAAAAAAATGTAGAACTCATTTTAAATATTTATAATTTTGTTTTCCAGTAGTATACTCTTCTACAATGACTTCAAATTTCAGCTTCTAATGAATTTAAACAAGAAGCGGTAGTGTATAAGCCGCGTTCCAGGTTACAAGTCAAGTCAAAGCCAAACAGATATATATGTTTCACCTAAAATTTAGGCATATTGATATATTCATTGTAAAAGAGTACATAAAATCTAATAAATCCAATAGTACCCAATCTTATACCCCTGTTTCGTGTTTGGTCTCCTTTCCCGATTTCCAATATGTGAAAGAAACAATTTAATCCAAAATTTTTAATGATTTATATTAAGGTAAAAAAAAAATAGAATCTATGCAAAATTCATACTTCAAGCCCAAAGGGCTTTTGTATGAGTGAGTGTGTAAGTGAATAATATAAACTATTATAAAGACCTTATCCAACACCTTAAAATTATAATAATTATAATTTTATTGTTAGTAAATTTCTAAATTAATTATTCTCTGGTTTAAGAGTTAGTCTTCTAACCAGTAAAGAATAAATTGCTAGCAACTATAAAAACCATTTTGTACGAAAATGACTTGTTGCTTTTATTGGATTTTTTGAACTCTTTTACTGTGAATATATCAATATGTCTAAATTTTAGGTGAAATATATATATCTGCTTGACTTCGACTTGACTTGTAACCTGGAACGCGACTGATACACTACCGCTTCCCGTTGAATTCTTTTTGGGATGGGACCCACTGACATGTGGCTGAGAGGGTACCGCGTCTTGGGAATAGGACGTGATTGCCAGGGTATAACGTTCCAGTGGTCAGGAATGACGCGGTTGCTAAAGTGTCACCAGTGATTCTCACAGTACCACATCGTTATGCATTATATAAGTAATATGTTTGACCAAGAAATTATTCCGATGAAACTTTATAAAAATGACACTACTAAGGTAAAAAAGCCCAAACTATCAAAATCCTTTTTTTCTACCTTTTTTTTTTATTTCTAAATTTTAATTCATGGTTTTAAACTCACTGAGTTAATGGATAATACGTATACTAATCCTTCAATGAAAACAATAGATTGAAATATGTACAATATACTATGTCTCCTAGAAAATCGTTGCTTCAAAATGCACCCGAGATTCTGCTCGTGAAAGAGTGTCAGAGTTGAAGTCAGGTGAGAAGAAAGGGGTGAGGAAATTACACAGCTTCATGTCATAATTCATAAGGAACTGACAAGTTATGTAGCACCTATACGACACGTGACACGACATTCCGACACGTTAATCTTAAAAAAATATTAATTTCGATACGTTGGGACACGTTTTAATATTAAATAGTATTTTTAATTTATATAGTGTATATTTCATTTAATATTTAATAATTTAACAAAAAAGTGAAACTAAATTAATAATACTCATCAACATGTTATAAAGATGGAAACTTTAATAAACAAAATAAAAACTGGGATGAGAGAGAGATATATAATATGAGATAGAGAGATCAAATCATATTAGAGAGAGATCAGAGAGAATGAGATACAACAAGAGCGTAATAGGAATTGACAACAACGATGCTGAGATAATCTCTTATCTTCTTAAGGGAAAAAGAGACAAAAAAATAAAATTGATATGATCAGGTGGAAGCTTTATTAATATATTTTAATTTTTTTAAAAATAACTTTTTAAAAAAACAATTAATTTTTTTTTTAAAAAAAAATTACGAAAATGCCTTTTGACCGTGTCGGACACGGTCAAATTCGCGTGTCAGAATAGTCAAAGTGTCGGAAAAAGTTGGACGCGTGTCCGACACCGTGTCGGAGTGTGTCAGACACAACTCTCCCTATTTTTACAAGTGTTCATGTTTCCTTGCTGTCAAGGTCCCTTTTCTCTAAACTAAGTAACGAATAAGGCCAAATTGAGGAAAATATCTATATTATTAATATTGTACCATTCAATTAATGTATTTATCTAATAAAAAATAGGATTTTATAATTCTCATTCAACATGAGAATTCAAATTTTCCTACACATCCTTCAATTTTTGTGTTAACATGGATCCTACATATAATTTTTTCTAACACATGGGTCCTACATGCTTTTTATCTCTACAATATGATAATTGAATTTTCATTCAACACGAGAAAATTAAATCCCTAAAAAATAACTATCATGTTTGTAATAAAAAAGAAAAAAATATTTTTTTATCTAAATATACTTGTTGAATAGCAGTACAGAATATGATCTCTAAATTGAGGTGGCATTATTAGCCAGAACAGTAGTCGTTAGTTGTGATTTATTAATGTTTATCATCATTAACTGTGCATTGGCATTGACACTTGAATTGCAGAAGAAACTAGAAATGAGGGTTATTAAGGTGCATAATAACCAATTTGCACCTTAATAAGGTGCATAATAACCAATTTGCCCCTCCCCCAGAACTATCCACCATCCTGCCCCCATTTAGTCGATCAAGTTGCACTTTTAATCGACTAAATAAGCAAAATCCAGAAATCAAGAAACACGAATTTTAGTCGACTAAATATTCACCTTGATCGACTAAATGTTGAGCACTTTTAGTCGACTAAGGCCATTATTTAGTCGACTAAATATTGCGGACCAGGTTTTTTAAAACCCCCCCATGTCGCAATGAGGGTTATTTTCAAACCCTAGTCGACTAAGGCCACGCCAAGAACCCCTCTCCTCAACCAAGTTCGAATCTCATCCCTTGAAGGTCCGATTGAAGCATCATTAGTTCACAACTTGTGAAATTGACATTGTAGGTAACGTTTTCTGACTTGCATTTGGTTTTAGGTTTAGGTTTTTTTTTTGTTTTCTCCATGCTTTGGTTTCTGTTATTTTAAATTTCTTGTTTATGGTATAAGGTTGTTTGCGAGTTTGTGGCTTTAGGTTAAGGGTAGGGTGTTGAGTTTGATGTATGGGTAATTGACTAGGGTTGATGTGGTAGCTTAGGGTTAGGGTTAGGGTTAGGGTTAGGGGAAGGGCTGCTGTTTTGGTTGGGGTGTAGGTTAAGGGTTTCTGTTTTTATGTTAGGGTATAGGATTGGTTTT